CATTCAGTTAGAATGCGTTCATTCCTAAGTATAGCAGATGTAAGCTATAAGGTTGGGTTCCTTTTAACAATCTGTGGTGTAGTGGTAGCGCCTTGACTTAGTAATCATAAGTCCTAGGTTCGAGTCCCCATCGGGGTAAAAAATGATTCATGTTTTCACATATGTAATGTGCTTATTTGATAATATATATATATATATATATATATATATATATATATATATATATATATATATATATATATATATATATATATATATATATATATATATATATATATATATATATATATATATATATATATATATATATATATATATTTATATATATATATATATATATATATATATATATATATATATATATATATAACCAGATAAGCACATTACATATGTGAAAACATGAATCATTTTTTACCCCGACCGGGACTCGAACCTAGGACTTATGATTACTAAGTCAAGGCGCTACCACTACACCACAGAAGGTTAAAAGGAATCCAACCTTATAGCTTATATCTGCTATACTTAGGAATGAACGCATTCTAACTGAATGCCACTATGTTCATATTACAGATTCCCCAACCTCACTCGTGGCTTCATTTTAGCATTTAATTCAATTCCCAATCTCATTCGGGCCATGAAATAACCAGATAAGCACATTACATATGTGAAAACATGAATCATTTCTTACCCCGACCGGGACTCGAACCTAGGACTTATGATTACTAAGTCAAGGCGCTACCACTACACCACAGAAGGTTAAAAGGAATCCAACCTTATAGCTTATATCTGCTATACTTAGGAATGAACGCATTCTAACTGAATGCCACTATGTTCATATTACAGATTCCCCAACCTCACTCGTGGCTTCATTTTAGCATTTAATTCAATTCCCAATCTCATTCGGGCCATGAAATAACCAGATAAGCACATTACATATGTGAAAACATGAATCATTTTTTACCCCGACCGGGACTCGAACCTAGGACTTATGATTACTAAGTCAAGGCGCTACCACTACACCACAGAAGGTTAAAAGGAATCCAACCTTATAGCTTATATCTGCTATACTTAGGAATGAACGCATTCTAACTGAATGCCACTATGTTCATATTACAGATTCCCCAACCTCACTCGTGGCTTCATTTTAGCATTTAATTCAATTCCCAATCTCATTCGGACCATGAAATAACCAGATAAGCACATTACATATGTGAAAACATGAATCATTTTTTACCCCGACCGGGACTCGAACCTAGGACTTATGATTACTAAGTCAAGGCGCTACCACTACACCACAGAAGGTTAAAAGGAATCCAACCTTATAGCTTATATCTGCTATACTTAGGAATGAACGCATTCTAACTGAATGCCACTATGTTCATATTACAGATTCCCCAACCTCACTCGTGGCTTCATTTTAGCATGTAATTCAATTCCCAATCTCATTCGGGCCATGAAATAACCAGATAAGCACATTACATATGTGAAAACATGAATCATTTTTTACCCCGACCGGGACTCGAACCTAGGACTTATGATTACTAAGTCAAGTCATGTTTTCACATATGTAATGTGCTTATCTGGTTATTTCATTGCCCGAATGAGATTGGGAATTGAATTAAATGCTAATATGAAGCCACGAGTGAGGTTGGGGAATCTGTAATATGAACATAGTGGCATTCAGTTAGAATGCGTTCATTCCTAAGTATAGCAGATATAAGCTATAAGGTTGGATTCCTTTTAACCTTCTGTGGTGTAGTGGTAGCGCCTTGACTTAGTAATCATAAGTCCTAGGTTCGAGTCCCGGTCGGGGAAAAAAAAAAAAATGATTCATGTTTTCACATATGTAATGTGCTTATCTGGTTATTTCATGGCCCGAATGAGATTGGGAATTGAATTAAATGCTAAAATGAAGCCACGAGTGAGGTTGGGGAATCTGTAATATGAACATAGTGGCATTCAGTTAGAATGCGTTCATTCCTAAGCATAGCAGATATAAGCTATAAGGTTGGATTCCTTTTAACCTTCTGTGGTGTAGTGGTAGCGCCTTGACTTAGTAATCATAAGTCCTAGGTTCGAGTCCCGGTCGGGGTAAAAAATGATTCATGTTTTCACATATGTAATGTGCTTATCTGGTTATTTCATGGCCCGACTGAGATTGGGAATTGAATGAAATGCTAAAATGAAGCCACGAGTGAGGTTGGGGAATCTGTAATATGAACATAGTGGCATTCAGTTAGAATGCGTTCATTCCTAAGTATAGCAGATATAAGCTATAAGGTTGGATTCCTTTTAACCTTCTGTGGTGTAGTGGTAGCGCCTTGACTTAGTAATCATAAGTCCTAGGTTCGAGTCCCGGTCGGGGTAAAAAATGATTCATGTTTTCACATATGTAATGTGCTTATCTGGTTATTTCATGGCCCGAATGAGATTGGGAATTGAATTAAATGCTAAAATGAAGCCACGAGTGAGGTTGGGGAATCTGTAATATGAACATAGTGGCATTCAGTTAGAATGCGTTCATTCCTAAGTATAGCAGATATAAGCTATAAGGTTGGATTCCTTTTAACCT